CTCTCAATACTGCATTACTTGTGTATGTGTGTTTGGGAGTGGGGAATATTATTTTAAATATTTTTTCTGGAATAGATAACTAATTGCCACAAAGTAATTTGCTGAATAATCCATTATTCCTTCCTTAATATGAAATGCTACCTTTATTATAAAATAAACGCTTGGATACGTATATACGAGATCCATGTCTGGAGTCTGCATTATTCTTTCATTGATCCATTTGTTGATTTCTGCATGTCAAATGCCAAATTTTTGAAATTATTACAGCTCTTTACAATGTGTCTGGATATCTAATAGGTCAAGCTTATGGGGAAAAACAATGTTATTTTTGCTTTATTTTACGTATCCCATAGGGCCATTAAAATTGAACCATCCTTTCATTTTTCTTGGCCTCAAGTTTTCTCTTCTGAGGATGCCCAATTCATATCCTTTAATCATTTGTCGATTACATATATTGGAGAATTCCTTCTTCCAGGTCTTTCAACTTTATTTATGGTGTCATTCATATGAATGAAGCTTTTCGTTTAGATGCAGTTAAATTTTCAATCTTTCTTTCTATGGCTTTTAATTTTAATAACATGCTAAAAGGTTACTTTCCCCTCTCTCAAAAGCTGTAAAACTATTCTCCCAGACTTTCTTCATTGTTTTTCATATGTAGGTCATTAATCCATCTAGAGAGGGGAAAAAAATGTCCAGGGATATTTCTCTGCTGATTCAGATGGGATGGCAGTGGAGGGTGCCTGGACATTAGAGAATTCAGTCACCCCTGCCATGTGTGAAGGGTGACTTTAATGAAGAAAGGAATCCCTTCTGAACATCCAGTGGACTGTAGGTTCTTCATGAATTGACATAAACTACTCACATTTGATTAAAGACCTTCTGGCACTGTCTTCTGGATTCCTTATCTGTGCGTGAGGCGCTAACAGTAAGATGTTTAGTGCTGTTGGTGGCCAGGTACGGCCTCTAACTATAATCCCAGCACTTTGGGAGGCTGAGGTGGAAGGATTACTTAAGCCTGGGAGTTTGAGATCTGCATGGGCAACATAGTGAAACCCCGTCTCTATTAAAAAAAAAAAGTGTGGAGTTGGAAGACACAGGACACTAAGTAACAAGCTGGGCTTCAAGCAGGGTTGTAGAAGACATGAAACTAAAACCTGGCTCCATGTAGTCTGTTGACCCAAGCCATTTTGCCTCTCCAACATTTATTGTAGCATGAATTATTTCTCCAATATCTCCCTCATTGCAGATTTAATACCTAAATAGAAATAATGAAAAACAGTAGCCTAAAATTAAGGAAGTTTTTGAAAAGTGTTGGTAGGGTAGGCTGGGCATGGTGGCTCACACCTGTAATCCCAGCACTTGGGGAAGCCAAGGCGGGCGGATAACCTGAGGTCAGGAGTTTGAGACCAGCCTGGTCAACACAGTGAAACCCCATTTCTATTAAAAATACAAAAAATTAGACAGGCATGGTGGTGCTCGACTGTAGTCCCAGCTACTAGAGAGGGTATGGCAGGAGAATCACTTAAACCCAGAAGGCCAAGGTTGCAGTGAGTTGAGAGTGCACCACTGCACTACAATCTGAGCAATAGAGTGAGACTCTGTCTCAAAAAAAAAAAAAAAAAAAAAAAATTTGGTATGGTAAAGGCTTGATCAGAACTGTACTTGAAAAAGATCCTGTCATTTGTCAGACAGATTCAATAAAGGGACTGCATGTGGGCTGAAGTGGCAGGAAATAAGAAGGAGTGACTGACTCATTGAGACAGTGGGGATTAAACCATGATTTAATCCAGAAGGATTAGATATTGTATTACCCAATCAGTAGAACTCTTGACAGCTGATTAGTCTGCAATCTTTGTATGATATGGGGGAAGTCAAAGCAAGGAATCTGGGTACAAGGTAGAAGGAAAGTGCTGTGAACATAGACAGGGTAGGCCAAGAGAGTTGGCTCATGCCTGTAATCCCAGCACTTTGGGAGGCCAAGGTGGGCAGATCACCTCAGGTCAGGAGTTCAAGACCAGCCTGGCCAACATGGTGAAACCCTGTCTCTACTAAAATACAAAAAATTAGCCAGGCAAGGTGGCACACGCCTGTAATCCAAGCTACTCAGGAGGCTGAGGCAGGCGAATCACTTGAACCCGGGAGACGGAGGTTGCAGTGAGCCAAGATCACAACACTGCACTCCAGCCTGGGCAACAAGAGCAAAACTCCGTCTCAAAAAAAAAAACAAAAAACATAGGGTAGCCTTGGTGAGGATGGACTCTGTGGATAATGATAATGGACTTCTTGTCTTTGAGGTGTAATCCTTGGTAAAGGTGACCAACTGGGAAGAGGTAAGGGCTGAAGAGATTGTTTTAGTCATCTGAAGGTGAAAATTGAATCTGAAAGGTACTGAAAACACAAAGAAGATAATAAACAAAACTTATTCTAGGAGAGAAGAAATAAAAGAAAAGCTGAGAAAACGAGTTATTCAGAGGGAGGAGAAGAATAAAGAGGGTAGTGTGATCAAGGACGATAAGGACTAAGAAAACAGCAATTGTTACTGTTAATCTTTATATTCAAGGGCACTGTGGTCTACCTGGGAAACGGATTTCCTCACATATTCTGAAATTCATTCTTTAAGACTTTATATCCCAAGATACTTAGGTAAAAAATGAGGAAAGAGAACCTTGGCTGGTTTCAGAGTGCCCTCTCTGGAACTGGAACGCTCAGCTGCCACTTGGTTTCCAGTATTCCTCACCTACTTGGGCATGACGGGACCCTGTGCTGTTTCTTCTTCTTTGAAATAAGGACAATAGTTTACTGCCTAGGATTGTTTTAAGAATTAAATGAATTAATTCTTGTATAGTACTTAGAACAATGCCTTGAACATAGTAGGTGTTCAATAAATACCAGCTATAGTATAGTAACTTTTTTTTTTTTTTTTTTTTAAGAGAGTCTCACTCTATAGCCCAAGCCGAAGTGCAGTGACGGATCTTGGCTCACTGCAACCTCTGCCTCCAGGGCTCAAGCAATTCTCGTGCCTCAGCCTCCCAAGTAGTTGGGACTACAGGCACGCGCCACGACCCCCGGCTAATTTTTTGTATTTTAGTAGAGATGGGGTTTCACTATATTCCCCAGGGTGGTCTCAAACTTCTGAGCGATCCACCCATCTTTGGCCTCCAAAAGTGCCAGGATTATAGGCGTGAGCCACCGCGCTCGGCCAGTAACCCTTTTTTTTTTTTTTTTTTTTTTTTGAGACGGAGTCTTGCTTTGTCACCCAGGCTAGAGTGCAGTGGCCGGATCTCAGCTCACTGCAAGCTCCGCCTCCCAGGTTCACGCCATTCTCCTGCCTCAGCCTCCCACGTAGCTGGGACTACAGGCGCCCGCCACCTCGCCCGGCTAGTTTTTTGTATGTTTTTAGTAGAGACGGTGTTTCACCGTGTTAGCCAGGATGGTCTCGATCTCCTGACCTTGTGATCCGCCCGTCTCGGCCTCCCAAAGTGCTGGGATTACAGGCTTGAGCCACCGCACCCGGCCCAGTAACCCATTTTTAAGGCCCAGGTGAAATAGTCTTTCTCTCACGTTTCATCAGACACTTCAGCTCCATATGCCTCCCACAGTTCATTGATGATACAACAGTTCGCACAGGGCCTGGCACACATCCTAAAGGCTCAGCAGTATTGATATTGACCCACACTTACAAAGCACTGTGGGCCAGACACTGCTGTGCTTTCTTTACAGATATCAACTCATTTCACCCACCCTAAAAACCTCGAGGTTCCAGAAACTGGCATATCCTCATTTTACAGATACAGAAACTAAGACACAGCCGGGCTAATTAAACTAAGCTTACACAAAAAGCCAAGACAGAGCCAGGACTTAAATCTAGGCAGCCTGTTTCACAGTCCCTGCTCATAACCATGGTGCCGTATAGTTCCAAACATCTTAACTAATGAGGACAGCATTATTTCTCAACATGCACAGCACAGAAAACCTCAAAACTTAGACTCTCAGTAAAACACCATCTATTCTTTTTTTTTTCTTTTCTTTTTTTTGGAGACAGGGTCTTGCTTGCTGCCCAGGCTGGAGTGCAGTGACGTGATCTCGGCCCACTGCAACCTTCACCTCCCAGGTTCAAGAGGAGGTGCAGCCTCTGGAGTGGCTGGGACTATAGGTGCACGGCACCGCTACCACCTAATTTTTTGTGTTTTTAGTAGAGACGGGATTTCACCATGTTGGCCACGCCGGTCTCAAACTCCTGACCTAAAGTGATCCACCAGTGTCGGCCTCCCAAAGTGCTGGAATTTATTCCAACATATCATTCATTCATTCATTGCTGGAATTTATTTCAACACCTCATTCATTCATTCATTCGAGACAGAATCTCGCTGTGGTGCCCAGGCTGGTCTCAAACTCCGGGGCTCAAGCGATCCTTCCGCCTCAGCCTCCCAACGTGCTGAGATTACAGGGACACATCACCGCGCCGGCCCCAACATCTTTATCTCAAACCCAGAAAAGTGACAGAGGAGAGTCTCCCCTACAAGATGATGACCAGCCCTCCAGACCTGAGCCCAGGTGGGATTCCAAGGCCCCTGTACTGGGGCCAGACAGGGAGACTCGCTCTCAAGAGAGTTCCGAAACCGCACCACCTTCTCCCTGCGGGGATGGCGGGAGGAGCGCGGGCACGCCCCGGCCCTGCCTCCTCTCTCGCGCTGGACGGAGTCCAGACGCGCGCTCCCGGGGAGGTGTTGCAACCATGGCGCCGGCAGCAGGCGCGGCGGCCTACTTTCAGCGAGGAAGTCTCTTCTGGTTCACAGTCATCACCCTCAGCTTTGGCTACTACACAGTAAGGGCAGCCGCTGGAGGGCTACGGTCTGGCGAGGGAGCAAGCGCTCGGTTCACCCCAGGACCTAGGCCCACAGGCGAGGAGCCGGGGGAAGTCGTGCAAGCACAATCCCTACTCCCGCGCGCTCGGAACGCCAGACTCCGGAATGAGACGCAGGCATATCGGTCCGCCAGGGTCTTGGGCCGGCGCCCAGCGCCGTGAGAAACCGGCTAGTCAGGCTTTTCTTATATGGGGGCGGGGACGGCTGGAGAGCTCCCGGTTAACTCTGTGTCTGGGTTTTTCAAGAGGATGGCGAAGTCGGAGGCTAGCAATGCCGCTACCGCCTATTTCCGTCCAGCCAGACCCTTGCCCTCTCTGGTCACAGTCCTGGGGCTGGGGTACTTCGCGGTGAGGCGTAGGGCGGGGCGGGCGTCTGTTTTGGCCCACCGGGCCCGCGTAGGGCGAGGGGCGCTGTGGGAACGAGGCCTGTGCGCACGCGCCTCTGACGGTTGTCTAGGTTACTCATGTAAGCGGAAGTTTGGTGGGCTGTTAGGATGGTTTCTGCTTTGCAGTGTTCCTGTCTTTGGGTCCTCACCTCTGCACGGTTACTAACGGATTTTCCGAGCTTAAGCCTCTCACGAAGCGGGAAGTAAGTTGACCGACTGCCATAGGCCTGCCAAGTCAGAATAGGGCTTCCGAAGCAGAATGTTTGAGCCAATAGGAATTGTTTGGAAAACGAGGATAAACCTAACGGATGGGTAGGATTTAAGTGTTAAGGGGGGATAAAGAGGATATCACTGTTGTGACATAGGTGTGGAAGCAAGAAGAAAGCTGTACCTAGAAAAAGAGCGACGTTTGTTTGGCTGAGAAATAATCTGTTTAAAGGATAACGAGAAAGATGCGTGGAAAAGTAGGTTGGGGGCTAAGGTGGTAATTTTGTTTTTTTTGTTTGAGGCGGAGGCTGGCTCTGTCACCCAGGCTGGAGTGCAGTGGCGCGATCTCGGCTCGCTGCAACCTCTGCCTCCCAGGTTTAAGTGATTCGCATGCCTCAACCTGTAGCTGGGATTACACCACGCCCGGCTAATTTTTTGTATTTTTAGTGGAGACGGGGTTTCACCACGTTGGTCAGGCTAGTCTCGAACTTCTAACCTCAAGTGATAAGGTGGTAAAATTTTGAAGGAAGGCGAAGCTATTTGGATATACCAGTAGATCCTGGAGATTGGGAATGGGAGATTATGTCCACGGTGTTGCTTGTTGTTGTCAAATCTGACCGACTCTGTCCTGATTTCATCATGTGTACAATGGAGGCGTTGAATTGAAAGTTTTCAAAGGTGCATTTCTATTCTACGATTTTGTGTCTGTGACTAGTTAGAATATAGTTGGAGGAAAGCTTTGGGGACTTCAAATTGGGATCTTGTGGAGCTGGCAGATGCTCCCCTTCCCCTTGGTTTGGGAGGATGCAGTGATATTTGTGCATTATTTAAATTTCAGATGTGAAACAACATCGTGAAAGAGATAGTACTGCTCTTTACAAAGATTTGAATGGGACAATACATTTTGAAACTGTTGGCAGTCATTCTCAGAAAAGTCTAAGCTGGCAGAAGTTACAATACAGAGGCTGAGAAAAAGTTAAGATTACGAAAAATTTATGTAATTAAGCAGTTGCTATTAATATGTCACAAACCTTATCTCACTTATTTTCCATCTCAATGCAGTGGATCATTCTCAGTTTTAGAGGTACAAAAAGGGAAAGCCAAGAAAGGAATTCTAAATTAAACAGAGGTTTGGCTGGAGCCAGTTTCTGCAGTAAAGACACTAGCCAAAGCACATAAACTCAAACTTTGCTAATATCTTTTATAAAATAATGGTTTTGGTGGAATGTATTAATAGGAGTCAGCCAGGCATGGTGGTTCTGTAATCCCAGCACTTCGGGAGGCCAAAGTGGGCAGATTGCATGAGCCCAGGAGTCCAGGGGTTCGAGACTAACCTGGGCAACATGGCAAAACCTCATCTCTACAAAAAAAAAAAAAAATTAGCCGTGGGCGGTGGTTCACGCCTGTAATCCCAGCACTTTGGGAAGCTGAGGAGGGCAGATCACATGACGTCGGGAGTTGGAGACCAGCCTGGCCAACATGGTGAAACTCCGTCTGTACTAAAAATACAAAAATTAGCCAGGCGTGGTGGCATGCACCTGTAGTCCCAGCTACTCTGGAGGCTGAAGCAGGAGAATCACGTGAACCCGGGAGGCAGAGGTTGCAGAGAGCCAAGATCGTGCCACTGCACTCCAGCCTGAGCAACAGAGTGAAACTCCGTCTAAAAAATAAATAAATAAATAAAAATTAGTCAGTCGTGGTAGCCCATGCCTGTATTCCCAGCTACTTGGGGGAGCTGAGTTGGGAGGATCACTTGAGCCCGGTAAGTTGAGGCTGCAGTGAGCCGTGATCGTGCCACTACACTCCAGCCTGGGTGACAAAGTGAGATCCCTTCTCTACAAAGAAAACAAAAGAAGAAAAGGAAGAATAAAAGACTAGGAGTCATCCACCATGAGCACTGAGTCTGATAACCACATATTTGCCTCAGCATAAATCTCCCAGTAGAGTTGCTTTTAGAAAATAGAAGTCATCCTGGCACAGTGGGTCATGCCTGTAATCCCAGCACTTTGGGAGGCCAAGGTGGGAGAATTGCTTGAGCCCTGGAGTTGGAGACCGTCCTGAGCAACACAGTGAGACCCCATTTCTATATACAATTTTTAAAAGTAGCTAGGTATGGTGGCACCCATGTGTAGTCCCAACTACTTGGGAGGCTGAGATGGGAGGATGGATTGAGCCCAGATGGTGGAGGCTGCAGTGAGTCATGATCATGCCACTGCACTCCAGCCCCAGCAGCGGCATGAGACCCTGTCAAAAAGAAAAGAAAAGAGAAGAAAAAGAAAGAAAATAGAAGTCAAGAATGGAGGCCCAAATGACTGTTGAGAGTTTCTTTGGTCTGTAGTTACTTTTGTATCGTTTCACAGCCTTTCTCAAAAAAAACAAACAGGTTTTAAGTGGCCTAATAGGTATTCTGTGTCTCTGGTTCTCTTTCAGTGGGTTGTCTTCTGGCCTCAGAGTATCCCTTATCAGAGCCTTGGGCCCCTGGGCCCCTTCACTCAGTACTTGGTGGACCACCATCACACCCTCCTGCACAATGGGTAAGGAGAGCTGCACAAATGGATTGTGGACACTGGAGCTGTGGTCTCACGGGAGACCTGGTAGGCCTGCAGCTGCCTTTTGGTATCTAAGAGTAGTGTTAGTTCACATTAAGGCACTTTTCTTTTTGAGATTGCTGTGTTAGATTTCATCAGCAGGTAACTATCACCTTAAAAAATATTCACTTTTTTTTTGGTTTCAGTTATTGGCTTGCCTGGCTGATTCATGTGGGAGAGTCCTTGTATGCCTTAGTATTGTGCAAGTAAGTCTTTGAAGTATCTGCTTCTTGCCTTTCTCTTAGTAGCTAATATAAATTGAGAGTAGCCACATTTAAATAATTCACACACTTGTAGGCTGAGAACATTCTCAGGGTGGAGCAGAATCCCCATGCCTGATACTGAGCCTGGTGCAGAGGGAGTACCCAGTAAATGTTTGATGAATGCATTCATTTTATGTTGGTTAACCAATTACTTAGTTATCTAATTCAGATGACTTTTGTTATTTTATTTTATTTTATTTTTTTGATACAGAGTCTCGCTGTGTCTCCCAGACTGGAGTGCAGTGGCGGGATCTCGGCTCACTGCAAGCTCCGCCTCCCAGGTTCACGCCATTCTCCTGCCTCAGCCTCCCGAGTAGCCAGGACTACAAGCGCCTGCCACCTCGCCCGGCTAATTTTTTGTATTTTTAGTAGAGACAGGGTTTCACCGTGTTAGCCAGGATGGTCTCGATCTCCTGACCTCAAGATCCACCTGCCTCAGCCTCCTTTCAAAGTGCTGGGATTACAGGCGTGAGCCACCACGCCCGGCCGACTTTTGTTATTTTTTAACAAATTTTCTGGGTAGCCCCAACTAGACCAAAAGACTAGGAGCCTGGCTTCCAGTTTATAGAAGAGCTAAGTGACTGACCTAGGCCGATGACTCACAGTCCTCGTTTTACAATTGAGCCACCTGAGGAGCTTTTTCAAAATACGCACATCTGGTTTCCAGACCCAGAGATTCTGATTGGGTAAGTCTTGCCTCAGAGATAGGAATGTGTTCTTTTTAAAAGCTCCACAGATAATTCTAGGATGCAGTGCTAGTTAAAAGCCCCCAAACCAGACCCCACTCGGCAGATGCTAGTGTAGCTTAATACTGTATGAGAATACTAGAAAAAATTATCTTTATATTTGTACTAAAGTATATACAGAAAGTATGGTACAATGAAAAAACACTATTATAGAAATGCCAAATTGCTTTCCAATTAATTTCTGGTCAAGATATTAATTGAATTAATTTCTGGTCAAGATATACTGTCTCCTCTATTATTTTTCTATTCTAAAAGTGGAAAATAAGATACTCTATTACTATTACTATGTTTCAATCATAAAAATAATCAATATTGATTGGGCACTACTATGTCAGAGACTGCTAAGTATGTTAAATAGAATTATCTTACTCTGTTTTCTTGTTTATTAAACAAAGAGGCTAGACCTTTTTTTTTTTTTTTTTTTTTTTTTTTTGAGACAGAATCTTGCTTTGTCACCCAGGCTGGAGTGCAGGGGCACAATCTTGGCTCACTGCAATCTCTGCATCCTGGGTTCAAGCGATTCTCCTGCCTCGGCTTCCCCAGTAGCTAGGATTACAGAAGCCCACCACCATGCCCGGCTAATTTTTGTATTTTTATTTTATTTTATTTTATTTTATTTTTTTTGAGACGGAGTCTTGCTCTGTCACCCAGGCTGGAGTGCAGTGGCCGGATCTCAGCTCACTGCAAGCTCTGCCTCCCGGGTTTACGCCATTCTCCTGCCTCAGCCTCCCGAGTAACTGGGACTACAGGCGCCCGCCACCTCGCCCGGCTAGTTTTTTTGTATTTTTTAGTAGAGACGGGGTTTCACCGTGTTAGCCGGGATGGTCTCTCGATCTCCTGACCTCGTGATCCGCCCGTCTCGGCCTCCCAAAGTGCTGGGATTACAGGCTTGAGCCACCGCGCCCGGCCAATAATTTTTGTATTTTTAGTAGAGACAGCGTTTCACCATGTTGGCCATGCTAGTCCCAAACTCTGACCTCTCAGGTGATCCACGTGCCTCGGCCTCCCAAAGTGCTGGGATTATAGGCATGAGCCATTGTGCCCGGCCACAAGCTAGACTTTCTATGAAGAGGGGCAGAAAGTAACTTTATTATTTCTTTCTCACCCCTCTCCAAGTAAATTTGTTTTGTAGATTGTTCCCCACCTTCCAACTGTATCTCTGGATGGAATTTCAAGCAGATCATAGGCTTTCCAGTCACCATCTGATATTATCCATTCTAGCTCAGTCTATTTGTTAAAACTATAAACTTTCTTCTAATTCAAAATGTCTGTTCTCATCCAGCTGGGGCTCAGGAGCCTGCAATGGGGAGAAGGGTACAGTTGATGTCTTCTCTTGCACTTCACCTTCTCCTGTATTCACTAATAATCGCTGCTTGCAGTCCCTTGGGATAGTGGGAATAGTTAGGGAGAAGGAGGCTCAGCCTTAAATAGCTGCTGCTGGCTGGGCGCAGTGGCTCACACCTATAATCCCAGCACTTTAGGAGGCCGAGGTGGGCGGATCATTTGAGGCCAGGAGTTTGAAACCATCCTGGCCAATATGACAAAACCCCATCTCTACTAAAAATAAAAAAAATATTTTAAAAGCCAGGCATGGTGGTGTGTGCCTGCAGTCCCAGCTGCTCAAGAGGCTGAGGCACGAGAATCACTTGAAGCCAGGAGGCAGAGGCTGCAGTGAGCCGAGATCGTGCCACTGCACTCCAGCCTGGGTGTCAGAGCAAGACCCTGTCTCAAAAAAAATAAAAATTAAAAAAATAACAGCTGCCGCCTTGTGATCAGGCAGCTGGGTGCTGTGTGTATTGCATATCCAGTATTGGCTCTTTCTCTCTAGAGGGGATGTGGTAGATTTTTGAGACACTGTTCCTCACCTGGATCTCCCTTCTGCAGTTTCCTTGATGATTCGTTTAGATACCTCCTCCAGAGTGCCACTTGCAGTTTCACCCTCAGAGTCTGTTTGCTGCGGAGAATTACCCTTTTATTGAGATCACTTCCATCTTTCAGGTGGGCCTGTGGTACAGGGTCCCTTTTAAAACTACTCGTGTCCAGTGCCTTCTTTAGGATCTGTATGGCTCACAGTAAACAACTGCCATATCCCTCCAGTGGGATAATCTGCAAGTGCATGCAGTTCTTAGTGTGGCAGTGCTTCCTTCTCTCCCAGCAAGCAGGCCAAACAGTGTTTACTCTTTGGAATCAGAGATTAAACCCTTCCCCAAATTCCAGAGGACTCATGTCAAGCTCTACAAATGATTCTGTTGAAGCCGTTCTCTGGGCTTGACTTGTGGGAAATGCCACAGTCCACTAGGACCTCTTTCCAATGGCCTCTGCAGCGTCCCAGTGGAATCTCAGATTGGAAGTGTGCGGTCCAGCCCCTCAACTTGGAATGTAGGAGTGCCTGACACCTATTTTGTTGTTAGCATTTGGAGTATCTGATGAAAACCAAAATACTCAAATTTTTATTTTTATTTGTTTATTTATTTTTTTCTTTTTTGAGACAGAGTCTCACTCTGTTGCCAGGCCGGAGTGCAGTAGCGCGATCTCGACTCACTGCAACCTCCACCTCTCAGGTTCAAGCGATTCTCCTGCCTCAGCCTCCCGACTAGCTGAGATTACAGGTGCCTGCCACCAAGTCTAACTAATTTTTGTACTTTTAGTAGAGACGGGGTTTCACCATGTTGGCCAGGATGGTCTTGATCTCTTGACCTTGTGATCTGCCCACCTCCGCCTCCCAAAGTGCTAGGATTACAGATGTGAGCCACCGTGCCCGGCCTTCAAATTTAATATAGAATTTTTTTGAAGGGCAGAGGGAGAACAGGCATAGAGGTTAGGTCACTATTATTATGTTCTTGAAATCATTTCTTTATAGTCTAACATGTTAGAATGTATCATTAGTCACTAGAAATCAGAATAAATACTCCTTTTGAACTATGAGATGATGACTGGGCATGGTGGCTCCCACCTGTAATCTCAGCACTCTGGGAGGCTGAGGTGGGTGGATCATCTGAGGTCAGGAGTTTGAGACCAGCCTGGCCAACATGATTGAAACCCTGTCTCTACTAAAAATACAAAAAAAAAAAAAAGATTAGCTGGACATGGTGGCACATGGCTGTTATCCCAGCTACTCAGGAGGCTGAGGCAGGAAAATCGCTTGAACCTGGGAGGCGGAGGTTGCAGTGAGCTGAGATCACACCACTGCACTTTAGTCTGGGCGACAAAGTGAGACTCTGTCTCAAAACAAAAAAAGAAAAAGAAAGTACCATTTTTGGTGGGGGGGGGTGGGAGGCAAAAACCCTTTGCTATTTTGGTAGATTAAAAAGGGTATCTAGCCATTTTAACTTGTATTTATTTGATTACAAAGTGAGGTTCAACTCTTCTTTGAAAGGTGCTGGTAGTTCTTGTTACATAATAATATTTTAACAAGAAAAATAGAACCGTTTTTCCTTAGGGATAAATAAATTAGAATCTCTTTGAGGCCAACATTCATGTTCATTGTTACCATTTTACAGTCTGGAGTTTTCCATTCAGAATATATAACTTATGCCGGGCGCAGTGGTTCAAGCCTGTAATCCCAGCACTTTGGGAGGCTGAGACGGGCGGATCACAAGGTCAGGAGATCGAGACCATCCTGGCTAACACGGTGAAACCCCGTCTCTACTAAAAAATACAAAAAACTAGCCAGGCGAGGTGGCGGGCACCTGTGGTCCCAGCTACTCCGGAGGCTGAGGCAGGCGAATGGCATAAACCCGGGAGGCGGAGCTTGCAGTGAGCTGAGATCCGGCCACTGCACTCCAGCCTGGGCGACAGAGCCAGACTCAGTCTCAAAAAAAAAAAAAAAAAAAAAGAATATATAGCTTATTCTCTTAGTTCAGAAATTAGATTCTTGCTGCTTGCATACCTCGGTTGGCTCTGCAGCCCTTGGAAAGGTTTTTCAGGTTTTGCAAAAATTTATATGTACAGTAGATTTTATTACAATGGAGAAACAGAAGTTCTTGACAAGTGGAAGTACTCTGTGACAGGGCAGCCTCGAGTGACCAAAACAGATAAATTGTGAAATTTTTCAAGTATCAGAGGTAACATTTTTTCCTAAGGCAGGAAAAATGTACTCACAAAGATATTTTTACATGTGCCTGGGTCTTGGTGGAATCGTTAAGGGACATGTGAATTAAATTAAGAAAACTCTTAAAAGGGTTTTGTCTTTTAAATAGGCAAAATGAGCTAAGAATACAGATAAAGGTGTGTGAATGAGAACAAGTTACGAAGACCCCGGGAAAACCCTTCTCCGGGTTACCTAGCCACCAACTGTGACCCCTCTGAAGGAGGAGGAAACAAGCACTGCTGTTCAGTGAGCCTGCTCTTCCAAGATGGCAACTCTTCTTTATTTTTCTTTCCTAAGTATCTTACACATTACAGGATCATATAAATTTACTTTCTACAACAAAATATTTTTGTTGTTTTGCCTATTTCAAAACAAACATGTTTGTTTTTAAAAGTTAATAATGTTCGGCCGGGCGCGGTGGCTCAAGCCTGTAATCCCAGCACTTTGGGAGGCCGAGACGGGTGGATCACGAGGTCAGGAGATCGAGACCATCCTGGCTAACACGGTGAAACCCCGTCTCTACTAAAAAAAAAATACAAAAAACTAGCTGGGCGAGGTGGTGGGCGCCTGTAGTCCCAGCTACTCGGGAGGCTGAGGCAGGAGAATGGTGTAAACCCGGGAGGCGGAGCTTGCAGTGAGCTGAGATCCGGCCACTAGGCTCCAGCCTGGGCGACAGAGCGAGACTCCGTCTCAAAAAAAAAAAAAAAAGTTAATAATGTTGTGCTAAAAACTCAGCTAATAAAATTGAAAGTTGGCCAGGTGCGGTGGCTCACGCCTGTAATCCCAGCGCTTTGGGAGGCCGAGGCAGGTGGATCACAAGGTAAGGAGTTTGAGACCAGCCTGGCCAATGTGGTGAAACCCTGTCTCTACTAAAATACAAAAATTAGCCAGGCGTGGTGGTGGGAGCCTGTAGTCTCAGCTACTCAGGAGGCTGAGGCAGGAGAATCACTTGAACCTGGGAGGCGGAGGTTGCAGTGAGCCGAGATTGTGCCACTGCACTCCAGCCTGGTCAACAGAGTGAGACTCCATCTCAAAAAAAAAAAAACAAAAGAATTGATAGTTGCTGGGCGTGGTAGCTGACGCCTATAATCCAATTTTATATATACATATAGTTATCATCTCTTTTATAATTGGTTTCCATGGTCATCTGTGCCTATTTTAAATTTTATTTTATTTTTTTAGAGATGGGTCTTACTGTGTTGCCCAGGCTGACCTTGAGCACCTGTGCTCAAGTGATCCTCCTGCCTCAGCCTCCCAAGTAGCTGGGACTGTAGGTGTGCCACTGCACTGGGCTAACATCCCTATTTGTCTATGTCTATACATATAAACCTACCCATCCATTAATAATAGTGCATAGCATTCTATTATACAGATGTGCCTTAACGTATTTTTAAAATCCCCCTTCTGATGGGCTTTTAAGTCTCTACTTTTTTACTATTATAAGCAATACAGCAATGAACATGAATTGCATGCATTTGTCCCACTTTGGTATTTGTTCTCTTAGAAAAAATTCCAAGATCTGGAATTTGAAGATTAAAGAATGAATACTTTTGGCTGGGCGTGGTGACTCACGCCTATAATTCCAGCACTTTGGGAGGCTGAGGCTGGTGAATCACCTGAGATTAGAAGTGTGAGACCAGCCTGGCCAACATGGTGAAACCCTGTCTCCACTAAAAATGCAAAAAAAAAAAAAAATTAGCAGGCCATGGTAGCAGGTGTAATCCCAGCTATTCAGGAGGCTAAGGCAAGAGAATCACTTGAATCTGGGAGGCAGAGGTTGCAGTGAGCCGAGAACACATGACTGCACTCTGGCCTGGGCGACAGAGCAAGACTCTGCCTAAGAATAAAACAAATGAATGAATACTTTAAATTATGATATGTATTGCCATATTGCCTTCAAAACTATGGGACTAATTTATGCTTCTAACATAAGTAAATGATAGTGCCCATTTCCCCACAATCTCACCAATACTCTTCAAATGGGCTGGCTTTTCTTACCTGTTTATAGGCACTCCTTGTTTTTTCTGATCTTGAGTACTTTGTCCTTTAGGTATCTTGCAAATATCCTTTCTCACGGTCTTTTTGTTCTGTTAGGTCTTTTGATAAACAGAAGTTTATCAATGTAGTGAATTTTATTATTTATATTAAAGTTATATTCGTTTACAGCATCTTCTAACAGTTTTAGAATTTTTTTCTTTCACATTAAAATTTTCAGTCTACCTAGAGCTTATTTTTTGTAAGAGAGAAGTTTCCAACTTTACCTTTTCCATCTGGATGCTCAGTTATCCCAGAGCTATTTATTGAGACATTCAGTCTTCACTGATGTGCCCTACTTATATCATACATACTTATATGTATAGATCTGTTCCTGAACACTATTCTGTTCCATTGGCCTGTTTATCCTTGGGCTAACACAAGACTGTCTTAATAGCAGCAGTTTTATAATCATTGTTATCTGACAAAGCATGTCCTCTCATCTTGTTCAATAGGATTGCCTTTTCCTACACCTTTCCATATTCTATGCATTGTCTTGTGCTACAAAAACAAAAAGTAAAGATGTTGAGATTTTCATTGGATTGACCATGTGAACGAATTTGGAGAACATTGGCATATTTCCGTTATGTTTTTTTTTTCTTTTTTTTTTCTTTAAGGTCAGGAAAGCATCAAATATTTCTATTATTGAGTCTTCTAAATGATGAAATGGTCTGTTTCCATTTATTTAGATCTCCTTTAATATATATATAATTTTAAGAGGTTTTGTTACATTAATTTCCAGCTACTTCTACTTTGAGATGTTATTATAAGTGCCTTTAAAAAAAAAAAAAAAAAAAGATGGGATCTCCCAGAGGCTGAGGCAGGAGAATGGCGTGAACCCGGGAGGCCCCAGAGCTTGCAGGGAGCCAAGATCGTGCCACTGCACTCCAGCCTAGGCGACAGAGCGAGACTCCGTCTCAAAACAAAACAAAACAAAAGATGGGGTCTCACTATGTTGCCTAGGCTGATGTCAAACTCCTGGGCTCAAGCAATCCACCTGTGCCGGTCTCCCAAAGTGCTGGAATTATAGGCCCGAGCCACCACACCTGGTCAACTTTTGTTGTTGTTGTTTTTGTTTTTTGAGATGGAGTCTAGCTCTGTTGCCCAGGCTGGAGTTCAGTGGCATGATCTTGGCTCACTTTTTTTCATTTTCTAACTGTTTGGTGGTAGTTTGTATGAATATAGTCAATTTTTTATATTGACCTTATACCCAGCACCTTGCTAAATACATTTATTAATTGTAAGTTTATAGATTATTTTCAATTTTTCAGGTATAAAACTGTCCAGAAATACAGTTTTATTTCTTTCTTTCAATTCTGTCTACCTTTTATTTATGTTTCTTCCCTTATTCTACTGGCCAGAACTTCCAGCAGTGCTGACTAGAAGTGTGCCTTCTTCTTGACCTCAAAGGAGAACTTTCAACATTTTGCATCATGTTTGTTATAGAGTTTTGTAGATCTCTTCTATCAAAATTAGGAAGTACCATTGTATTTCTAACTTTGCTGAGAACTTTTATTAAAAATGGATGTTGGGTGTGGACGTAGGTGGCTCACACCTGTAATCCCAGCACTTTGGGAGGCTGAGGCGGGAGAATTGGTTGAAGCCAGGAGTTCAAGACCAGCCTGGGCAACAAAGCAAGACACTGTGCCTACAAAAAGCAAATAAACAAACAAAAAACCTAGCCAGGCATGGTGGTGCATGCCTGTGATGATCCCAGCTACTTGGGAGGCTAAGGTAGGGGGATGGCTTTAGCCCAGGAGTTTGAAGCTGCAGTGAGCTATAATTGTACAGTACACTCCACTATAGGGGACAGAGTGAGACCCCATCTCTGTGGGGGGGGGGCGGTGGAAAAGGAACGGATGTTGAAATTTGTCGAATGCCACTTCTGTATTTATTAAGATATTCGTATGATCTTTCCCTTTTAATCTGTTACTATAGAAAATTATATCATTTTTACATATATGGTTTTTAAAGTTTATTTTAAATAAAAGTCATCCAAGTGAGACTTATTTATATACAGATGAGACTGTAGCAAGACATTCACTTCCATTGGGTCATCTTTTTTTTACACTTCGTTTTAGGCAGTTGAATTTGAATGACGATATAAGCAGGTGTTTATCATGACTGTGTGCCAGGCTCCTTCCTGAGCATGTTGTGTGTATTATCCCATAAATCATCTCAACACACAGTGAGATAGCTACTGCTATTCCTGTTTTTCAGATGAGAAAACTGATTTTGAGAGATACTGAGTGATTTGCCCAGGTCATAGCCAGTAGGTAGCCACACTAGGATTTATATCTGGTCTATTTTCAAAACATTTGCTCTGAAGCCATACCAGTGCTTTTTACTCCATCCACTCATCAGAATCACATGAGAAACAGTCTTATAATACTGTGCCCTAGACAGTAGCCTGACTAGTTCTCAGGGAATAGTGTACCATCCAAAATACATTTATTAGAAAACAAGAAAGATGAAAAATAAACGAATCATCCAAGATAAGAAGCCAGAGAAAAGCAGCAAAATAAATCCAAAGAAAGTAGTGGAAGGTATAATTAAAAAAAAAAAAAAACTATATAGAAAAGGCCGGGCGCGGTGGCTCAAGCCTGTAATTCCAGCACTTTGGGAGGCCGAGACAGGCAGATCACGAGGTCAGGAGATCGAGACCAGCCTGGCTAACATGGTGAAACCCCATCTGTACTAAAAAAATACAAAAAACTAGCTGGGCAAGGTGGCGGGCACCTGTAGTCCCAGCTACTCGGGAGGCTGAGGCAGGAGAATGGCGTAGACTCGGGAAGCGGAGTTTGCAGTGAGTTGAGATCTGGCCACTGCACTCCTGGGTGACAGAACGAGACTCCGCCTCAAAACAAAAACAAAAACAAAAAAAACTATATAGAAGACAATAACTCCCATGAAACTGTAAGATTAACATCTGGTGTTTAAATTTTGTTTTTTCTTTTTTAGGCATAAAGGCATCACAAGTGGTCAGGCTCAGCTACTCTGGTTCCTACAGACTTTCTTCTTTGGGATAGCATCTCTCACCATCTTGATTGCTTACAAACAGAAGCACCAAAAGTAAACTTGAAGATGTCTGAAAGTTTGTTCTACACTTTTACTTTCATTCTCACCTTTTTTTTTTTTTTTTTTTTTTTTTTTTGTGGGCTAGAGAAGGTGCAGTAGTTACTCAGTGATCTTTCTACTTTCTAGAAACTGTCTGTCCTTCGGAGCTATTTAAGACCCCCTCATTAGTCATTTTTTTCTCCTATATGCTCTTGTTGAGCTTGAATAGACCAGTTGTTACTTAAGAAACAGAGAAAGATTTTAGCTTTTTCAGTCCTATTTGGCAGAGGACTTCAGCTACCTTCCTAAGGTCTTTAGCTGTGTTGGCGCCCTTGTGTGCTCTGAGCTAAGTCACATACTAAATTGACTTTTTGATTTGTATACCCTTGTTCCCGCCTTCTGATGAAAACACCTTACCCTCACAACCACCATCTTTCCTCTCCTTTCCCAAAGCTCTTTCCGCCTTGCTGCACTAAGATAAAGTGACACTTCCACTATATGTCAATTCCACACACATTTATTAGACACCTGTGAGGTAGGATCCTATCCTCTCAAACTTCCATTTCTCACGCTACAGAGAAAGATAAGGAAGATGAGCAAGTGCCTGGAATGGGGCAGGCTGAGCGGTCACACAGGCATAGAGGCACGCTGAGAACCTGGAGGCGAGACTGCAGAGTGCCTTCCCGGATGCTGCAGCCAGAAGTGATCCTTCCCTCCACCTGGCCCCTGGGACACTGTGCTTCGTAGTGTGCAGGGTCTGATGGCACTGCTAGATTGCTCCTTCAGCTCAGGGCCACGGCTTAAACAGCTTTACCTTTCCCCTCAGCACCTGTCCCACTACCTTGCACACAGGTGCTCTAACCATGTTTATTGAACAAAGGAGGGAAACTGATTTCACTTTCACCTGTTCAATTATCATTCCAATTTTTATGTGAAAATGGCACAACCCATTTGGGGTACCCTCATCCCAAAAGAAAAGTCCAAGTCTACCTTTGACTCATACCACCTTTTTTGTGGGTTCCTTGGTGAGAAACCTGTATCTTTTTCATACCTTTCTATTATCAATCACTTCTCCAAAAGTGTCTCTTTCCAGCTCTGATTTATTCAAAAACACACAAGCATTCCTGTTTAGAGATTCTAGCCTATGGGTTATCTGGCTAGTTACTACCGCTCCTGTTCACTTAGTTATACTTTATTATTGCTCACAGGTTGGGGAGGCAGAATGACTCTGTCACCACTAGGAGCCGTTAGGGCTTCTTCGCTGGAGGACTGCCTGTGTGCTCTCTGGGGACTAGCCCTCATTTCCCTTCTGTGGTACAGTGGGGCAAGTTATTTGTATTAAACAAACATTTATGAGAAACAACCTCCTCCCCAAAATGGAACCCCCAAGTAAAGCACAAGCCTGAAAGATTATGAACTATGAATTGTCTCTAATGGAGATAAATTTTTGCAAATATATCTCAGTCTTTCCTTGTGTTTTTCTGGTGATTAAGAAGTTGCTTTTTGGTAAGGAAAAGGATTTTTGACCATAGAGTTAGGCATCATGGAAATTCAAACCAGATTTCTTAATACCTGATCTTCCTCAAAGAGAAATAATAACAGTAATAGTGGTGCTGGGAACAATACGGCAGATTATTGAATGAAATGGATTAACTTGAATAAAATGCTGTGAATTATCTCCAGCTGAATGCTTTTCTTGTATTTGTCAGTTTTGACATATTTGATTCTTCTTCTCAAATAAACTGTACTAGGGAACTGTTTATACACTTCAGATATGTTTGTTTTTCACTGATAAAGAAATGCAAAACACAGTGGTTGTTGGGTATATACGTATTATATTTTAGAACTGTCCATGCCCCACTTACCTCCTCCACATACAAGGAATCACTAGGGTAGACATGAGTGTCTCCTTTTCATTGTAGGATTGTCTCCTTTTTGTTTCTGTTTTTATTCAACATTTGATTAAGTCTATGCACTAAGTAAGGAGTGTTCTGGCATTTTTTTAAATGCACGAAGTCCAGTATGCATCATTTAACAATGGGGATGCATTCTGAGAAATGCACTATTAGGTGAGTGCATCGTTGTGCAGATGTCATAGGGTGTACTCACAAACCAAATGGTAGAGCCGAGTACACACCTAGGCTATATGTTACAGTCTGTTGCCCCTAGCTACAAACCTGCATGGCATGTAGAGTACTACTGAATACTGAAGGTAATGGTAACACAGTGGTAAGCATTTGTGTACCTAGCTTTTCTTTAGGATGGGATTCAATATATCCCCGTCTCTACTAAAAATACAAAAATTAGCCAGGCGTAGTGGCGGGTGCCTGTAATCCCAGCTACTCGGGAGGCTGAGGCAAGAGAATTGCTTGAACCCGGGAGGCGGAGGTTGTAGTGAGCCGAGATTGCAGCATTTCACTCCAGCCTGGGCAATAGAGTGAGACTCCATCTCAAAAAGCAAAACGAAAAACAATAGCTAAACATAGAAAAGATACTATAAAAATGTTTTGTTCTAATCCTATGGGACCAGCATCATGTGTGCTGTCTGTCATTGATCAAAACATCAGTATGCAGGCACGCCTGTATAAAATCCTATCATCTTATTTGGGGTATTATCATGGCTTAGACGCAAAGCGGGATCTAGTGAGCAAATGGTGCAGATCATTCCTTTCATAGACCCATAAACATCTCAGCGAGGTGAAGTAACTTGCTCAATATCACACAGAGAGGTATGATTCTGGGCCTTGTGTTGCCCACCTTCCCCATCACCTCTGAGTAAAAGTAAGTCTGTGAAGCAAAAAAAAAATTAAAAATGGAGACAGCCGGGCGCGGTGGCTCACGCCTGTAATCCCAGCACTTTGGGAGGCCGAGGCGGGCGGATCACAAGGTCAGGAGATCGAGACCATGGTGAAACCCCGTCTCTACTAAAAATACAAAAAATTAGCCGGGCGCAGTTGTGGGCACCTGTAGTCCCAGCTACTCGGGAGGCTGAGGCAGGAGAATGGCGTGAACCCGGGAGGCGGAGCTTGCAGTGAGCCGAGATCGCGCCACTGCACTCCAGCCTGGGCGACAGAGCGAGACTCCGTCTCAAAAAAAAAAAAAAAAAAAAAAATGGAGACATACTGGCTTTGTGTGGTAGTCATGGTGGTGATATGGGAGAAACAGCTTTATGTTGAGTTTGGATGCGAAAAGACCAGAGAGGCATCTCGGTGGAAGCAACCATGGAAAAAAAAAAAGACTAAACTTTTCTTACCCACCCCTTAGATTTCCAAAGCACATATAGTTTGGAAAAATAAGAAAGGACAAAAAAAAAAAAAAAAAACCCTCAAATTAATGACCTCAGAAATTAATAGCAGGCCCAATTTATAAACTAACGGTGTTTCCTACATTCAACATGTTTATGATTCCACGCAATCTAAGCATAGTTTATGAGCCACGTTGTTAACATAAACCTGGGTTAGGTTTAAGAGGTTACATTCCAGATATGTGTAAAGAGGCTTCTTAGAAAAACAACTTGCTATCTCAGAGAGTCCTTATATCTTTACACTGAAGGTCTAAGAACACAAAAGAGAAGTCAGATAACCTGCACTTGAGGTCAGAGAACACAGTGCAATCACATTTTTATCTTGCTAGGTCCCTTTCTGGTGTCTCATTAATTAAAGCTCTTAGTTTAGCAACTTGGTTGTGAATATTTTTCCTTTCCTTTCTTGTCAGCACGGTGAAAAAAATGCTGGTGGGGTAGCTGGGTAATACACTTGTAAGACCATGGAAACATTCTCTCTGCAAGGCTCCTTGTCTGCAACAAATTGTGAATTATGTTTCTATTTTCATCCACACTGGATGATAAGAGTCTTTAATGTTCATATTTCTCTTCTTGAAAAGGAGATTTGTGCTCTGAATCCACAGTAAACATTTGAAAAATCTACTCAAAATACTGTATTTGCAATTTCTGTGAAACATTTTAAGATGACTTCTAAGCTTTTATAAAGGATTAAGTACACCAATTGCCTCATTTCTATTTGTAGTAAGTCATAATGTTGGATTAAGGGAAATATTTTTGGTATACAACAAATACTGTTCAGTTACATTGGTGTTGTGGGAAATGGAAAAGTAATTTTCAAAAGTAAAAAAGAAATGCTGTTGAGGGAAGTATTCATGAAAGAACTTTTACTTACTTTTTCCTTATATTAATACATTGCACAGGATGAATTGCTACTAAAATTGATGAAATCTTAACATTGTTGTAAATGAGAGAAATGGCATCTATAATATAAGGTAGGGAAGAGTTCCCTAACTCTCAAGCACATAGAGGCCACCTCCACAACTTTAATCATGTCTACACTCCATCTAAATTTATTATTTAAAGCAATTCACTTTTTTTTTTTTCTTTAGACTGAGTCTCGCTCTATTGTCCAGGCTGGAGTTGAGTGGCGTGATCTCGGCTCACTGCAATCTCTGCCTCCCAGGTTCAAGTGATTCTCCTGCCTCAGCCTCCCAAGTAACTGGGATTACAGGTGCCCGTCACCACACCCGGCTAATTTTTGTATTTTTAGTAGTGATGGGGTTTCACCATGTTGGCCAGGCTGGTCTCAAACTCCTGACCTCAAATGATCTGCTGGCCTTGGCCTCCCAAAGTGCTGGGGTTACAGGCGTGAGCCACTGCACCTGGCCAGAAATTCACTTAAAAAAAAAATTTCCTACACAAGATTAACTATGAAGTCCCAGGCTTGGTTTCTTCATTATTTTTTTTCTAATGCATATGAGAAGAAAGGATAATTATTACCTAAAATACCGTGTGTACTAGTGATGTATTTGACACACTTAAAAATCAGAAAGTGTTGCCCTACTAGTTGAGACTGAAGCATGGGGTTTAACCTGGCTCTAGCCACAGGATTTTAGACAAGTTTGTCACCTTTCTGGACCTCAGTTTCATCATTAAAAGAATTGATGTTTTAGACATGAAGCCTTTGCCCATGCCTATGTCCTGAATGGTATTGCCCAGGTTTTCTTCTAGGATTTTAATAGTCCTAGGACTTACGTTTACGTCTTTGATCCATCTTGAGTTGATTTTTGTATAAGGTGTAAGGTAGGGGTCCAGTTTCAGTTTTTTGCATATGGCTAGCCAGTTTTCCCAACATTTATTAAATAGGGAATCTTTTCCCCATTGCTTGTTTGTGTCAGGTTTGTCAACAGTCAGATGTGTGGTGTTGTAGATGTGTGGTGTTATTTCTGAGGCCTCTGTTCTCTTCCATTGGTCTATATATCTGTTTTGGTACCAATACCATGCTGTTTTGGTTACTGTAGCCTTGTAGTATAGTTTGAAGTCAGGTAGCACGATGCCTCCAGCTTTGTTATTCTTGCCCAGGATTTTCTTGGCTGTGCGGCTCTTTTTTGGTTCCATATGAAGTTTAAAGTAGTTTTTCCCAATGCTGTAAAGGAAGTCAGTGGTAGCTTGATGGGGATAGCATTGAATCTATAAATTACCTTGGGCAGTATGGCCATTTTCATGATATTGATTCTTCCTATCCATGAACATGGAATGTTTTTCCATTTGTTTGTGTCCTCTCTTATTTCCTTGAGCAGTGGTTTGTAGTTCTCCTTGCAGAGGTCCTTCACATCCCTTGTAAGGTGTATTCCTAGGTATTTTATTTTCTTCGTAGCAATTGTGAATGGGAGTTCAGTCATTATTTGGCTCTCTGTTTGTCTGTTATTAGTGTATAGGAATGCTTGTGATTTTTGCACATTGATTTTGTATCCCAAGACTTTGTTGAAGTTGTTTATCAGCTTAAGAAGATTTTGGGCTGAGACAATGGGGTTTTCTAAATTATACAGTCATGTCATCTGCAAACAGACAATCTGACTTCCTCTTTTCCTGTTTAAATACCTTTATTTCTTTCTCTTGCCTGATTGCCCTGGCCAGAACTTCCAATATTGTGTTGAATACAGTGGTGAGAGAGGGCATCCTTATCTTGTGCCGGTTTTCAAAGGGAATGCTTCCAGTTTTTTCCCATTCAGTATATTGACTGTGGGTTTGTCATAAATAGCTCTTATTATTTTGAGATATGTTCCATCGACACCTAGTTTATTGAGAGTTTTTAGCATGAAGGCTATTGAATTTTGTCGAAGGCCTTTTCTGCATCTATTGAGATAATCACATGGTTTTTGTCATTCGTTCTGTTTATGTGATGGATTACGTTTATTGATTTGCGTATGTTGAACCAGCCTTGCATCCCAGGTATAAAGCCGACTTGATCATGGTGGATACGTTTTTGATGTGCTGCTGGATTCAGTTTGCCAGTATTTTATTGAGGATTTTCACACTGATGTTCATCAGGGATATTGGCCTGAAATTTTCTTTTTTTATTGTGTCTCTGCCAGGTTTTGGTATCAGGATGATGCTGTCCTCATAAAATAAGTTAGGGAGGATTCGCTCTTTTTCTATTGTTTGGAATAGTTTCAGAAGGAATGGTACCAGCTCCTCTTTGTACCTCTGGTAGAATTCAGGTGTAAATCCGTCTGGTCCTGGACTTTTTTTGCTTGGTAGGCTATTAATTACTGCCTCAATTTCAGAACTTGCTATTGGTTTATTCAGGCATTTGACTTCCTGGTTTAAACTTGGGAGGGTGTATGTGTCCAGGAATTTATCCATTTCTTCTAGATTTTCTAGTTTATTCATGTAGAAGTGTTTACAGTATTCTCTGATGGTAGTTTTTATTCCTGTGGGATCAGTGGTGATATTCCCTATATCATTTTTTATAGCATCTATTTG